CCAAAATTTGCAAATTCTTTGACAGAATCAAAGACAAAACACCAAATATATATTTATTATTCCTTTAATTTATGCCTAAAACCAAAGGTTAAAACAATTCAGAAGCTCTCATCCATAAAATTACTACCAAAATTTGCAAATTCTTTGACAGAGTCAAAGACAAAACACCAAATCAAAAACCCAAGAAACAAAAACTGACCCTACAAACTCACATGTCCATTATATCCAAAATTCATTTAGGTTGTATTTCGTAACACCTATTTGAATTTAAAGTGTATATATTAAATATGTGTATTTTAAAATTTATTATTTAAATTAGATAGAGAAATTAATTTTAAATACATGTACTTTTAAAATATGCTATTTGAATATATTAAAAAATTGTACATTTGTAATTGAATTTCCTATTAAATTAATTCCTCTTTTGATCATTATTTAATTTGAATCCCTATTTTATCAATAAGACATTATTTATATTTTTTTAATTTTAAATACTCGAGTCATTGTTTAAATTGTCTCAAAATTCAAAACTAAATATGTTGAATAATAATAAATGAGATGAAAATTTAGGATTAAAATTTGGACCAATGATACGACATAAATTACGTTATTTAGAATATTAAACTATAAACCTTATATTATTTAATGATGAACTTTTTAAAAAAAAATACTCATAATATTATATATATCAACTAATTTAATGATATAACATAAATCATGTTATTGATCTCAAATTTTTGCCTCAAATTTTCATTGCCCCTATTATTACTCAAATATGTTTTGTGAAAAATAAAACATACATGCCTGTACAAAAGAAGAACACAACATAAATTAAGAAGGAAAAACTTCGAATCACTGCAGCATTATGTTCTCAATTTGCTGCTGTAAGTAATGCTAACATTATGTCTCAAGTAGAACTATACCCTGCAGCATTCAAAATGGCCCAACATCATTGTGAATAATGAGCTATTAAGAGCATTAAAGACAGGTCAATTAAGGATAACAAAGCTGCACCAGATAATAGAACGGATGATAAATCAAGTACCTAACACATAGATGAGGTGCAAATAGAAATGCTGTGGATTAAATTGAATAGCATGCATTTTGGTTTGAATTGATGTTTCCGATGACTGTGCACTGTGCATCTAAAGCCCCTGGGGCTTGGAAGATAGTCTAAAGGGAAATTCAACTTCATTGGTTCGGTACAAAGAGTTGCAGAAGGAAGTGGAAAGGATGAATGAGGATGCAGAGAAAGCATAGATGGATGTGCTGAAAGCAGAGGAAGAGGTGGCAAATATTATGCGTTTAGACGAGCAAGCTGTTGCTTTTGAATTAGAGGCTACACAGTGTGTGCATGATGCGGAAATTGCATTACAGAAAGCTGAGAAGTCTCTTTCAAGTTCCAATGCTGATATTGCAAAAACATTATAGGCATAGATATTGGAGGAAAAGAGACTTCTTGAGGAGGATAAGAGTGGTCAAGGGAGTCCTATTGGAGTTGGAATAGACAAAATGATTGCGCCAAACTACCATAAAGCAAATTTAGCAAAAAATTTACCAACCAAACTTTTTGTTGCTAGGCATCTTACAAGACCAGTACACATAAAACTTAAATGCTACTCGATTCAAGAATCAACTAGCTAGAAACAGAGAAATAGCAGAGCCAAGCTAATTGATGGGGTTAGATTTTTGAAATAGCAAGCCAAGCTAACTGACCCAAGATAATATAACAATAAGTAATATATGCAAACATGAATTGTTCTT